AGGGCCTCAATGAGCTTTTAATATGCTAAGGTTTGTTATGACTGTCCAAGATGGGGGTAATTTGCAGCCCAGACCCCTCATTAGATTTGGCTTGGTTGTGACAGAAATGAGTTTAACCAGAAAGAGGAATTCATTGACTTATGTAACTGATATTCAGTTATTTCCACTTTCAGGCACAGCTGGATACAGGTGCTTAGGGATTTCATCAGAAATCTGCCTCTCTCCATCTTTAGTCTGCTTCCTCTGAGTTGGCTCTTCATGTGGTTAACTGAAGGTTGCCAACAGCTCCAGTCTGACAGAGGGCAACTCTTTCCCAATAGTTCCAGCGAAAGTCCCAGAATCCACCATGGAAAACCAGGCTGTTAACAGAGGGGGGATGAAATCTGGGCAGGCACAAATAATAGATGGTCACTGAAGTGGGGATGGACAGGGCCAGAGATGGGAGTGACACGCCTGGGGGCATAGACTTGGACAGAGCCTTTCAGGGCATCCTCCTCCACCTGCCCTCATCTGTGGCTCTTTCCTGGAGCCCTGGGAGGGGCTGCTTTCTGGCTGTAGTTTCCCTCCCCAGAGACCTGGAAGGGGCAGTGTAGAGCACTGTGGGGCCAGCGTGTCCCACACTGAAGCACCTGAAAAGGGAGCTGTTTCCAACCCACCTCTTTTCCAAGAAAAGTGTCTCCTTTCGGCCCCAAGGGGAGGGAGGTGCAGAGCACCCAGAAACTGCAGTTTATTTTGGAGGAGCCTCTACCAGGGCTTGCTGGGTGGCCTCTAGACGGGTCTGGCCAGGGCCTCCAAGCCAAGGCCCTCATACCTCGGGAAGCAAAATCTCTGCTCTCAGCACCAGGGTGTCAGTGGAACATTTCCAGAAAATGTTCAGTCTGGAACCATCCCCTCCCTGCCACCATGAATGCTCGCTTGAGAGCACTAGCCTGGCTGCAGTGTCACCATGTGTTGCTGAGCATGTACGTGCCCACCTCTGCCTTCACCCTTCAACCTGGGAAATGGGCTCACAGGCAGCACAGCTGATGCCACAGGCGCCTGGTAGTTAACAGAGTGAGTGAAGTGGATTGGGTGTGGTACCAGGGTGGGATGGGATTGTGGAAGGAGCTCACAGTCCTGGCTAAAGGGGCAGCCAGTTGTCACTCTCAGAGATCCATTTTTTAGTAAAAAAGCCAGAAACCCAGCCTTCAGGTGAAACCTAAGTTTTGACAACTAACTCAAAATCAGAACCCATCTGTGGCTACATTTGGCCTTGGTGGGGGGTCAGGTGATGCCTGGGGTCCCCTCTCACTCTCCCTGCCCCCAACATCCACTCAGGTCTGTGACTCCCCCTCAATCTACCCTTGGCCTCTCTCCAAATAGCCAGCCAGCCCTTAGGGGGCAGGGGTCCATTTCTGTGAGCCTTGCCCCTCACTTGAGTGAAGGGCCTGTCAGGTGGCTGACCTGGAGGACCTGGAGGTGCCCACATCCATGAGCCTGCAGGGCAGAGCAGGTGTGGAAGTGTAGAGCTGGGGTCGCATGCCCAGCTAGCAAAGGAGGCCACGCAGGAATGAGAACACAGTCATACACAATCATCAGGTCAACAGCCATCCAGTCCCTGGTACAGAAGGGGAAACGGGGGTGTCGCCGCCCCTGGGTATGTTTCTTCCCCTTGTCTGGCCCCTCCCCTGTCACCTGGGGAGGGTCCTGCTTAGCTACTGCAGAAATGAAGTTTAAACTGAGAGCAGGCAGGGCGGCAGGGGCTCCAGAGGTGGGGCAGGCCGGGGTCTCAGTGGCCTCCGGCCTAATGGCAGCCCCCCAGGCACCTAACTGCCCCTCCGCCCCCAATGAGCTCAGGGCACCGAGGGCCCAGGGAGGCCCTGTTGGCGCTGGCCACTGCCCCCAACGACTCAGAACCCACAGAAGACACCTCCCTGTCTCTAAGTCGCCCAGGGCAGGAAGGGGGGATTCGAACCCCTCTCTCACAGTTGGCAAAGCTGAGGTCGGGCTGGGTGCCCCCGGCTGAGCCAAGCCCTCCGAAGGCGCCCGCACAGTCCCGGCAGGAGGCCCCGGGGCGGAGGCAGGGGCCGCCCCCGACCAGCCCCGCCCGGGTGCCCCGGACGCGCACCTGGCGGCAGTCCCAGCCAGGTGTCTGGCCTGGCGGCCAGGCAGATGTAGCAGGCCCAGAGGGCCCCAGGGCCGGCTCTACCAGCACCCCCAGCCCCGGTGAGTGGGCTCAGCGCATGTGACCCGGGCAGGACTCTCAGGAGTTAGGCTGTGACGCCACGTCACCCCACTGCGGGTCAAGCGCCCATTGGCTGCCCGGTGGCCCGCGGGGCGGGGCTTCTCTGGCCCGGCGCCCCAACTTCCTCGGGTGAAGAACTGGTCTACTCCTAACACTGCCTCCTCCCTACTCCCCACCCCCCAGCCCTGACAATCAGGGGCAACATTGCTGCCATGGGCAACTCCCTCACGGCCCCATGCCTCAGTTTCCTCATTCGTGAAATGGGGGCAGGAATAAATGGGTTAATACAGGAAAAGTACTTGGCACAGGATCGGCCCACTGTAAGTGCTCAAGACTTGCTGCCAGTGTGGATGCAGCTGGCGGGCTCCCCAGCCCTCACCCTCTCCTCAGCACTCCAGGACAGGGGGCAACCACAGGCTGGTCCAGTTCCGGTGTGTGCTCAGACCTGCCCAGCCAGGAGGGGTCTTTTTTAGGGTCTTTGGATCTTTGAAGGGGAGGAGTGGGCAAGACCAGCAGATTCCCCTGAGGAACAGGGTCCCCAGCTAGGCTTTCCCCACCCTGTCCTTGAGGGTTGCCATGGAAATTCCAGCCCATGGAGCAAAGTTTCCTCTCTTTGGTGGCAAAGATTTATAGCCCCCCACCCCCATCTTGGACTATGCCCCATGGGGGGGCTTTAGCCAGCCTTCAGTCTCAACTGGCATTTCCAGTCTGTGCTGCTGGGCTCCCCTTGACCTTACCTCACCCTCTCTCCCTCTCCCCTAACTCCTGCAGTCATGGAGTATTTATTGTGCCATATGTAGCAAAACCATTTAAAGAATAGTTAGGCAGGTCTGTTCTGAAAGTGACTGACTGCAGAAAGGCCTAGTCCCTCTTTACAGATCAGTAGCTGAGGCTCAGAAAGGGGAATTAAGTCGTTCAGCAAACAGACGAAAAACCACACTGGCTGCCAGACTTCAAGGAAGTGGTCTTTAGGCTTCACCCAGCATCCCTCCTCGGCCCACCCCTCTCCCTGGAAAAGGCTATTTGAATTTTCAGGGAAGTCACCAGATTCCCTGAGGCCTCCTGGGCGCCTAGCTCCTCAGGGGCTGCGGGGGAGGGAGGAGGTTTCATTGGTTACTGAACAGAAGCTCATCCAGAGGGTCGAGGTTCTGTGTAGATGCCTGAGTAGGGCCACTCATGCAGGAGATGTGGTTCGGAGAGCCCCCCATGGCTCCTAGCCACCCCTCTTCTGGGTAATTTTCTATGACAGCCACTTCCAGGAGGGGAACAAAGAAAGCTGCATGTCCAGGACAAGCCTCTCTCAGCCCAGGCTCCCTGCTCCTAAAGTGAGCCACTGATTTTACTCTTGGAGGGCGTGACCAAACGGGCTATATCTGGAGTCTAAACTAGGCCATCTTTGGGAGAGCATGACTCACCAAGACCCAGGGATAGGAGGGCCATGGGCTCCAGACCCCTGATGAGCCATTTCCTTTGCTGCCTCCTACCAAGGTTGCCTGTCTCTGATTGCATTCCTGCAGGGACAGGGAGCTCACTCACTGCCTTCTCACTTTTAGATTCCTGAATGTCAGTTCTGTTTATTTTAATTCACATCGCTGGGACACCTTCCCTCCCACCTGTCCTACCTGGCTCTGTCCCCAAGCCACAGGGCCCAGGGTTAGGACTCCAGCCCTTTTCCCAGCAGGGCTGCCTGCTGACCTGGCCCCAGTCTGTGAAGGCCCAGGGCAACATGGCTCAGGGCTAAAGCTCAGCTTCTTCCTCATGCCGTTGACTCTGCTGCACCAAGTTTGGAGTCAAACAGCCCCAAGCCCCAGCCCTGCTGGGTTTCCTGAGTAGCTGTGTGGCCTCGGGCAGGCCACTGTCTCTCTGGGGCCCTGATCATGATAGGATGGGAAATTCCAACCTCTTCAGGCTCCCTTTCAGCCACCCCCTCCTGAAGAGGCCAGCCTTCTCCTGGGGCAAGGAAAGCTCTTCTGCAGGAAGGTCAGGCTGATCTCACAGGCAACCTCACAGCCAGCCTATTGAGAGGCATCACTAGGCCCCTGCTGCAGATGAGAAAACTGAGGCACAGAGCGGTGATGCAATTAGCTCAAGTCCACACAGCAGGTCTGGGCAGAGCTGTAACTGTAGAGTGTTATCTTGAGTCAATCTCTTTTGAGATAAAAGATTAAACAAGCCAGCAGAGCTGAGATGGTAAAGACACATGCCAAGTCACATGAAGATTGCCCAGGAGCAGAAGTTGAGAAGAGACAATGACCTTCTCCCAGAGCAGACAGAGAGAAAGCCTTCCCCTAGAGCCGGGGCTCTGAATTCGGACTTCCAGGCCCTCCTAAAACTGTGAGAAAATAAATTTCTGTTTGTTAAAGCCACCCACTTGTGTATTTCTGTTATAGCAGCACTAAATAACACAGACCTTGAGTCCTGGGGCTTCCACTCAGACCCCCTTGCTTGGGGCTGGAGAAACTGAGGCCCAGGGAGGGGCGGTGACCTGCCTGGGCTCCCAAACAGTTGGCCCGAGGCTGTGGTGGCGTCAGGATGGATGAAGTGACAGAAGTTGCCCCTGCCGGGGTGGAGAGGGTGGGGGAGGGGGCAGTCCAGACTGGCCCACTGGCATGGGCTGGGATCCCGGCTCTGCCCAGGTGAGGCAGGGCCGTCGATCGGGAGGGGCGTGGCCTCCGCGCCCCGCTCCGCCCCGCCGCGCCCGCCAGGCGGACCGCCGCCGCCAGGGGAACCCAGCGTCCGAGGGACTTTCCGCCGGCGCCGGCTGCCACGGAGGCCAGAGCGGGGCGCGAGCGCGGGGGCCGGTGGGCAGCCCGGAGGAGGCGCTGCGCCATGGACGGGCCGCCTTTCAGCGAGGCGGCCTTGGAGCAGACACTGGCTGCCCCGTGCGAGCTGGACGCTGCGCTGCTGACCGACATCGAAGGTGCGTGGGCGCGCGGGCCCGGGGCCCGGGGCGCGGTCCTGGCCCGCCGGCCGCTCGGCACTTGGCAGCGCGGGTCCCCGGCATCTCCGGGCTGCGCGCCTGGAGCCTCCGGGCCGCGCCGAGCCTATCCCGCTTCGCGGGGCCGCGGGGTCCACACGCCGGGCCGCGCCCGGGTACCCTAATGTCTCAGGCGCCTGGGTCCCCGCGCCCTGGGCCCTCGAGTCTCCGACCCCCCGGGCCGCGGTGGGAACTGGGACCCGGAGTCACCCGGCCCGCCCCTGCTCCGGCAATGACGTCAGCGCGGGGTTACTCTTGGTCATTCCCTCCGGCCGAGAGTTCAGCGCGGCGCGGGAGCTCGTGCGCAGGCGCGCGCCCGGCCCTGTCGCGTTCCTCCCTCGGGTCAAGTGGGCCAGGCTGTCATCCCCTCCTCTGGGGAGCACACTCACACAAATTCGCAAACGGACATTTAGTTGCACCTTGGGGTGGGTTGAGGGTAAAGCCGTCAGAGGCGGCCTCTCCGAGGAAGGGTTTTGGAGCAGAGAAACTGGCGCTAACAGGGGCAGCAGGGACACCGGTCAGGGGCTGTTTCCTCCGCTGTGTGGGCAGCCCCGGCACATTGCCCAGCAAGGTTGCTGTGTGCGACTTTTAGCAGCACGGGCTGAGTTGCACTTGACGAGTGGGGAAACGGAGGCCAAGGGCCCAGGAGCAAGCTGGGGGACTAGATCCTCCCACAGCTTGGATGAGCGTGTCTGTGGGCTTGTGACCTCCTGGGGGTGGGCAACACAGTCTGAGCCGCCCACTCCTGCCCTACTGCAGCCTTGCGGATTAGCCTAGCTGGTGACCAGCCCAGCTTTACCAGCCTGCCTTCCCCTGGGGCCTGGGGAGGAGAGGACCTCAGAGGAGGGAACCTGATGGAGGAACTTTTCCAAGGCTGGCTGAGAGCTCGGCAGCCTGTCCCAGCCTTGGCAGGAGGGGCTGTCCTCACTGTGCTCTGGAGTGGTGAACCCCTGAGCTCCCCAGGCCCAGTGGTGAACCTCTGAACCCGTGAACTCCCTGGGCCTGACTCCATTCCCTGTTTTTAGTGCTGGGCCGATGAGAGCAGCGGTAGAGTCAACATGGCCGAGGGGCAAGAGCAGGAGCTTTGGAGTCGGGACCTGAATCTGGACACAGCTCACTTACTGTGCCACCCTGCCTAGGCGTCCTATCCTCTGGGCCTGTCTCACTTTACCCCTCTCAAAAACTGAGGGTGCAAGCCCCCCACCCCCAACAGGGGAGTTGGGACAGCTGAGTCAGAGACGTGCATAGGGACACGAGATCTGGCACAGGTCTTCCTCAGCTCACCTCTAGAAGTTATCTACTCCCGTCCAGATGCTAGGCCTGGGCAGCATTCAGGCCCTTGCTGGTCTGAGCAATGAGAGGGCCCCAAGGCCCCTGAGCACTGGGCAGCCCCTGCTTGCTGGGCGGGAGTGGAGGTTTGTCCACTGCAGAGGAGGAGTTATGTTTTATTCAAACTGCGTGTGCTGTTTCCCCAATTACACAATTAATCTTTTCACTGTAGAAAAATTAGAAAGTGCGGGTGTGCAAACAGAAGAAAAGAAAATTCTCCTTAAACCCACCACCCAGAGATAAGCCCTATTAATTATTTAGGGGATTATTTCCTTTGTGTGTGTGTGTGTGTATTTTTTGGCATGGCTCCATACTCTTCACCTACCTTTTTAAAAAAGAAGTTTATTGAGGTATAGTTTATATACCGTAAAATTACCATAAAATATAATTTACATTCCATAAAATGTACCCATTTTAAGTGTACAATTCAGTAATTTTTAGTCAATTTCTGAGCTGTGTGACCATCACCACTTTTAGTGACCCCTCCTGTCTGTTCACAATGACTCCCCATTCCCAGCCCCAGGCAGTCACTAAGATGTATTTTTTATAAATTAGACTAGAGAGGGGTACAGAGTTTCTCTTTGGGGTAATGGAAATGTTCTGGAAATAAACAGTGGTGATGGTTACACAACAATGTGAATACAACTAATGCCACTGAATTGTACACTTAAAAATGGTTAAAATGGTAAATTTTATGTTATGTATATTTTACCACAATTTAGAAATAAGAAATAAATTAGAATGGGGTCATTTTGTTCACCATAGTGTGGCTTGCTCTGCTCCCTGTCAGCCACCACTGCAGTTCTGACTTGTGCGCAGGGGCCCCTGCAGATGGACCTCTGGGGTGGTTTGCCCTCCTAAGTGGCAGCACAGCTCCGTAGGATGAGGATGGAAGGGGCTGCTGGGTGGAGCTGGGCCTGCCTTTGGAGAAGTCCGAAGTGACTGCAACTTGGAGGGGAGGCGTAGCTCCATGGGCCCCAGTTTGCTGGAGAGTAGTGGGGGTGCCAGGATGGAGACCCAGGAGGCAGCAGGGAGTCCCCGGGGGTTCTGAGCAGGGTGTGTTTTAGAAATTCCTGCTGGCGGCTGGGGTGGAGGATCACAACATGAGCAGGTAGCATTTACTGAGCATTTACTATATGCTAGGCCTGTGCTGCCATCTCTTTAATCCTCCCAGCAACCCCAAGTAGGTAGACATTAATCTTCATCTTACAGAGAAGAGCCTTTTGAGGCACAGAGAGGGGAAGTGGTCTGCCCGTGGTCACACAGCCAGGCCATGCAGAGCCTGGATTCCAGCTCTTAGCCGCTGTGTTCCTAAGACTGGGCAGGGCGGGAAGGAGGGGCAACGAATGCAGCAGAGAACCAGGGAGGTGGCTCCACGTGGGCTATACTGGGGCCTGTGAGTGGGTCCCAGAGGAATCAGAGGCCACACTGCAGCCTCCCCCTCCCCACCCAGAGCAGCATCTGAGTCATAAGACTGGGGACTAGCCCTGGGGAGCCAGCCAAGGGCTTCGGCCAAACCCTCCGTCATGTGGCCAGGTTTTGGGGTAGAGTCATGTCTCTGTTGGTCAGGGCACTGCCCTGGGTTCAAGTCCAGCCCTGCTCTGTCTCCTCTGGCTCTGGGCCTCCTCCTGCACTGGGCTCCCTTGTGGCTGCTTGAGAGGGAAGGTGAGGGACAGCCTTCCACACGTGTTTAGGATTATAATCAAGCCCATAGCCGTTATCACCTCCCACTGAGGATGAAGTTATTGGATCTTTAAAAGCTTGTAAGTGCAGAAGACGCAACTACAGACAGAGTTTAGAATGGCCAGGAAGGGAGAGCCACTGCGTTACCATGGGGGTGGGCTTGACTGAGGGGCACTCTGTTGTTGTTATTAGGTGCTGTTGAGTCGGTTCCAACTCATAGCGACCCTGTGTACAACAGAACAAAACACTGCCTGGTCCTATGCCATCCTCATAATTGTTGCTATGCTTGAGCCTATTTTTGCAGCCACTGTGTCAATCCATCTCATTGAGAGTCTTCCTCTTTTTCCTTGACCATCTACTTTACCAAGCATGATGTCCTTCTCCAGGGACTGTTCCCTCCTGATAACATGTCCAAAGTATGTGAGACGAAGTCTTGTCATCCTTGCTTTTAAGGAGCATTCTGGCTGTACTTTTTCCAAGACATTTGTTCTTACGCATATGAGGCAGTTTAAAACACCATGGCTTGCTTGGGTCAGGTGCACCTTAGTCCTGAAAGTGACATCTCTGCTTTTTAACACTTTAAAGAGGTCTTTTGCAGCATATTTGCCCAGTGCAATGTGTCGTTTGATTTCCTGACTGCTTCTTCTATGGGCGTTGATTGTGGATCCAAGTAAAACGAAATCCTTGCCTACTTCAGTGTTTTCTCCTTTTATCGTGATGTTGCTTATTGGTCCAGTTGTGAGGATTTTTGTTTTCTTTATGTTGAGGTGTAATCCATACTGAAGGCTGTA